CCCCCCCCCCCCCCCCCCTTTCTTTCCAGCTTTCCACATCCTCCCCCTTTCCGACGTGTTCTTACCTTTTCACGTTTAATCTCAGCACAAACTGGACTCAGCATGACATCAAATCCAAACAGCTGGAACCTCAACCCGGTTTGGTATTTTATCTGAGCCGAAGGCAACAGAAATACTTTGTACGTATAAAGACTGCTAAAGCTTTGTAGAACAAGTCTCTGCCTCATTAAGACACCACTCCGTCAAGGAATCCAGACCAGCTATGGAAAGCTGAAGTACAAAACAGACTGGGCGGCAGCTGGGCATTGAACATTGAGAAGTGGACCAGAGAAGAAGAGAAAGCAAAATGGCTTCTGTTGGTCTCCAGATGATGGGCTACTTCATGGCCGTGTTGGGTTTGATTGGCGCAGTCATCGCAACGCTCCTTCCTGACTGGAAGGTCAGCTCCTACATCGGCGCCAGCATTGTGACGGCCGTGGGTTTTAATAAAGGACTGTGGATGGAGTGCGCCGTCTTTAGCACCGGTATCACCCAGTGTGACATATATAACTCCATGTTGGGTCTTCCACCAGAAACCCAAGCCGCCCAAGCCCTCATGATAACCTCTTGCGTGGTATCATGCTTGTCCACCCTCCTCACCGTCTTTGGCATGAAATGCACTATCTTCAACCAAGGGAGCCCCGGCAAGGATAAACTGGCAGTGACCGGCGGCGTCATGTTCATCCTGGGTGGGGTCATCTGCATGGTGCCCATCTGCTGGAACCTGCACACGATCCTCCAAGACTTTTACAACCCGTTGCTCCCCGACGCGCAGAGGTACGAGATCGGATCGGCCCTGTATCTCGGCATCGTGTCTTCCTTACTCTCCGTGGTGGGCGGCGCCATTCTTTGCACCTCTTGTCCCCCCAGGGAGCCGGACCGGGGCTTTTACAACAAATACCAGAGCAGGACTTTGGCGGCCAGCAAGGCGCAGAACTCCAAGAAAGAGAACAGCGGGTACAGCCTCACAGGTTACGTATAAGTCGATCGGAAGCCTTTAGACGTACTCTACTCCAGCTTGATAGATCAGTAGTTGATTTCCTACTCCACATACTGTCGCGCCAGTAGACTTAAGAGACTGCTAATCCTATTAATTAATACTGCTTCACTGAAAGCTAACTGCCTCTGCGTTTAAAGCAGAACAAACTGACTGTAACGACACGGGCAGTCTACGCAACATGGCTTAGTAGATCTTTGCATCCGATATACAGAATGTCAGAGGTGTGGACTGTAAGAAACTAAACGCAGCTTTAAATTCCCATAAGGTTTGCTCGCTGTTTTTGTCTTTTTATGTGCTGGGTGTTTTTGTTTTTTTTTCTTTCGTTGCAATAGACGTGTAAGCCTTCGGCCTGGTGTAGCTATTTGTGGCACAAAACACAAAGTCAAACACAAGAGCCAAGGTTACCGCTGATGATAAAGTGCACTAAGCAAAAGTGGAAAAATGTCAAAGAAATTGCAAAACTGAGAAAGGACTTAGCGTTCTGTATTAAAGTCTTGATCTAAACTGTAGTTTTATTTTTTTGTTCCGTGCCTTGTGGTGGGCTGTAATGCATGTGCGTTTGGGAAAGGTGAATGGGAAAGGTGCCTTGGTGAAAAGTGCGTTTGGGAAAGGTGAATGGGAAAGGTGCCTTGGGGAAAAGTGTGTTGGGAAAGATGCATTGAGAAAGGTGCATTGAGAAAGTTGAATGGGAAAGGTGCCTTGGGGCAGGTGCATGGGGCAAGGTGATTGGGAAAGATGCCTTGAAAAAGGTGCGTTGGGAAAGGTGAATGGGAAAGGTGCGTTGGGAAAGGTGCCTTGGGGAAAGTGTGTTTGGAAAGATGCATTGAGAAAGGTGAGTTGGGAAAGGTGAATGGGAAAGGTGCCTTGGGGAAAAGTGTGTTGGGAAAGATGCATTGAGAAAGGTGCATTGAGAAAGTTGAATGGGAAAGGTGCCTTGGGGCAGGTGCATGGGGCAAGGTGATTGGGAAAGATGCCTTGGAAAAGGTGTGTTGAGAAAGGTGAATGGGAAAGGTGAATGGGAAAGGTGCCTTGGGGAAAGTGTCTTGGGAAAGATGCATTGAGAAAGGTGCCTTGGGGCAGGTGCATGGGGCAAGGTGATTGGGAAAGATGCCTTGGAAAAGGTGCGTTGAGAAAGGTGAATGGGAAAGGTGCCTTGGGAAAGGTGTGTTGAGAAAGATGCCGGGGGAAGGGGAGTTGGGAAAGGTGCCTTGAAATAGATGAATTGGAAAAGGTGCCTCGGGGAACATGCATTGGGAAAGGTGATTGCGAAAGGTTGCTTGGGAAGGTGCGTTGAGAAAGGTGCTTTGAGAAAAGTGTATTGAGAAAGGTGCATTATGAAGGTGCATTGGGAATGGTGTGGTGAGAAATGTGATTGGGAAAGGTGCCTTTTGGAAGGTGCAATAAGAAAGGTGATTGAGAATGGTGATTGGAAAAGGTAAATTAGTAAAGGTGCTTAGGAAAAGTGCATTGAGAATGGTATGTTGGGAAAGGTGCATGGGGGAAGGTGATTGGGAAAGATGCCTTGAGAAAGGTGCCTTGGGGAAGGTGTGTTGAGAAAAGTGACTGAGAAAGGTACCTTAGGGAAGGTACATTGGTAAAGATGTCTTGGTAAAGATGTCTAGGGAAAGGTGCCTGGGGGAAGGTGCTTTGGGAAAGGTGACTGAGAAATGTACCTCATGGAAGGTGCTTTAGAAAAGATGTGTTGGGAAAGGTCACTTGAAAAGTGCTTTGAGAATTTGACAATGCAACAGATGTGTTGGGAAAGGTGCCTTGGGGAAGGTGCATTAGGTCTACGTATAACCAAAACAATTAGCTTTAACCTGTCAATACCATTACAATAGTTACTTTGAGGCTTTTTAAACATGAAGCTTCATTAAAGTGTATGTCAAGACAACACTTTTGTTTATTGGGTGCGGTAGCGAAGGTCTGGGCCCCTATCAGGTTATTTTTTGCTCTCCTGTTAACTTGCTAAGTTTTGGCTTTAGATACACTTCAAATTGATAGTGTCAATACTGATCAATAAATATATACTGTAGATTAGTATTGTTTTGTGTAGAGCAGCCTCACTAAGGATTTTTGACCCTTCAAAGAAAAGAATTACTGACATATCTAGCTCTTCTCCCACAACCCGTCAGGTTTTTATTGTTCTCTGTGCCCCCCGCTGGGAAGATTCACCCTCTCTATTTGTCCATGTGACCATTGTCAATGGGATTGGAAGAGAGGGATACTCCAAAATTTTATGTTGTCACCACAACGGAATGGGAGGGAAATGGTCCTCTAAGTGTCAACTGTCTAAAAGGGGATGTCTCCTACTTTGGAGAGCTGTCCTCTTACTTTCTATAGTAAGTTGGAGCTGGGCTTGCTTTCATGTTGTGGCTGTTTTGTTAAAAATGGCCATTTGCCTTTAAAAATGTGAAATTTGGGACTTCCATTACTAAGAATTTCCTCACATAGCTCCCCATATGTGTCTGTGCTGTCAGTCATAGATGGTGTGCTGCTACTTGCACTTGACCACTTATCAACGAGCGATTGATCTTGCTTTTAGACACAAAGTCAAGTGGTGACCTGTCACACAAGGATAGGTGACCAAAACTGGGTAGCAGATGTGTGAAGGACAGGTCACCACTAGTGAAGGGCCAGACACCCCGCCCCCCCCCCCCCCCCCCCCACCCCCCACACCCCACAGTCCAGACACAAAG